TCTATGACGGATAGTACTAGACTTTTATATGTTCTCATTATGATGATGCTGTTAGCAYCCCATGCTCGATTGGAAATGGCCCTGATTACATTTAATCTTGATTTGGTCTTAGTTTTTAAAAATTTTATACGTTTATATTGAGCAACATTTATTACTTAATAAGCCACTTCCAATAAATCTATTTATTAGGTATGCGCAACTATTTAGATGAGTGAAAAATAATCTAAGACTCTCCCGATTTTGGCAACTGTTTTTGTTCTTTGAATTCAATTGAGTACGAAAAAAAGTATCAGGTGGTGTTATCGATTAAAAAAAATTAAATGGTTAATAAATAGTAATTAATAAATAATAAATAGGTTAATATAAGTACTTACAAACTAACTCACTTAAGATTATATCTTATCGCTAAACAGTAAGTATAATTATATTTTGATTTCATTTAGATTTACCTAAACATTTTTCTATTTATTTACTATTTTATGCGACTGCTTGTTTAAATCATTTTCAAAATAAATGTAACACGTTTAACATTGACCTATAGACATAACATTTTTTCCAAGAATTGTGTCGTTAGTAAATTATGCAGACAATAAACATATATGCCACTATGCATTATGTTTATGCTAATATTATAAGCAATCTTTTTTTCATTTTTTTTTATTCATTACGTGCTTCCATCACTACGTCATACAAATAAATACATTTTGACGAAGAAAGTACTCGTATTTATATACTTTTATTTAAATTTAAGTAGGTACCTAATCTCAGAAATTGACTGAATAAAGTATGAACGTTTTACTTAAATTAAATATAACATACATCTTATGACTTACGAACCACAATGTTATTGGTAAATAGGTAGGTAATGGTGTTAATGTTTAAAATTATATATAACAAATTTACTATATTATTTTTTCCAAAATAATAGAAAATGTCTCTTCAATATATTTATAAACAATAAATTATTAGCGTTATCGCTTAGCGAATAATATGTTAACAAAGATCGGGCTATAATTTCAAACAAATGTGATGTGATGTAGGTGTACTCTTATGCATACTAGTTACCATATATGAGTTCAAAACGTATAACTACAGTGATGTTCATAAAACATATTTTAATATACCTATATAGTCTATTCAGTCTATACCTACCTATATATTCAACGATGCGGGGTTTCATACGAAAGTAATATTAGTATTAATACTGATTTTTATCAATATGGAAAGTTTTTAATTTAAATTAAATTATTGATAATTAATAAAGACATAAATAGAATAATAGACAATAAACACATAATTAGAATTAAAAATTTATAACGTGTTCATGGTGTTTTATATGATATTTTGATCAATTCATTATTTAGATTAAATAATATTTAAAAAGACTATACACCTAGGTACATTATATGGGTACTATTATTAGGTATATCAATAATAATTATCAACTAGGTACTAATAAATAACAATAATTTATTAATATATTGGGATGTTAATTTTTAGTCATCTTTAGTTCATCATTGTCTATTGAAAACCCTTCAAAATGTAAAATCAAAATTATTTGTGTTCGATATTATCTATATAGTAGTATTAGTAGGTACAGACGTACAGTCAACGTATAGAGGATATAAATTACGTTTTATTTATTATTATCATTAATCGCAGTGAACGGCAAGGAAATATTTAATGCATCTACTTCAATACTTATAGTTATCAAAAAGGTCACGAAAATATTTAGGTCGTGAACATTCTAGAGACAATAAAGAGCAGAGCCTATATATACTGTATGGGTACTACTTCGATCAATCGTAACCGGTCAAATACGTGAATATTTTATATAATTGATGGTAACAAAACAGTTAATCGGTATTTACACAGTAAACAATATAGGTATTTGACATTATTATTAATCTCAGATTGATAGGTTATATATTATTATTGTTTGTACTTGCCTAACGCCAACAAATATTTATGTAGGTGTTGATAAATAAAAATCATTTTGAGTTTTCGCTTATAACATCAGCTATACAGCATTGAATATTAATTATAAAATGTTATTGAGGAAAAAAACGTCCATATTTGGACGTGTGGTGTCCAAATATGGAGGAAAAAATCCAACATTTATAAACGTTTCAATTTAAATCACTCTGTACAATTACCAACGCACCCTTCTATGTAGGCAACAAATCATTGGACACTGCCCACAGGTCTTGATATGCAGGCTGTTAGCCCAAAGTGGCCAAACGTCATATCCTACTATACAAGCGCTTCCGTTGCCGTTTTGCGAACCATCCGAATCCACTTGTTTCTACACTTATAGTTCAGTTAACATTTCTGATAATCCACCAAGAATGTTCACTTAAAAGGCGCGTGTTTGTTGTTCGAGTCGATTAAATAAAAAAAAAAAAAATAAAAATTGTATACCTACAATATATTATAGATTATTCTATTATACTATAATAATATTAAAGTCTATCGTGTAGCTCAGCGTTTCTCAACCTATGGTACGCACGCCATTAGTGGTACGTGGAAAGCTCATAGGTGGTATACGCTAAAAAAAATCTTCTTTCACTAAAAAAAAGGAATGAATCATCAAATATATTAAATATTATTATTTRGTTTGTTTGATGTCAATAATAATTATTGCACATATCTATGCGCATAAAGTCTATAATACCTATATAAAAAAATAACGTAATTTGGTTAAGTGAGTCCACCCACTTTCTGTAGGCTAGTTATGTCTACCCAAAAGCACCAACACTGTTAATCCAAATTATATTATCTTGAATTGTTTCTTTTGTAAATCTACCTTTGGAAAATTGCCCTAACGGGCGTTAATTAATAATAAATAAATAAATAACAATTTTCAAATTGTTCAGGTGGTATGCGGTTATAAAAAGGTTGAGAACCGCTGGTGTTGTCAATCATATCTAAGTTACTTTTCTTTCCTCTTGTCTTAAGGTCTTTGTAAATATATTTCATATTTGTAAATATTATTACAGATTGCATAATATTCCAAAAATGAATGTTAAAAAAAAAATAATATGCGATGAGAATTTGTTTTTGTATTTGTTTTAAAAGTACATACTATGGTATCCAAATGATTAAATCAATATTACAATAACAGCATAATTTACAAATAATAACATATTTTTGAAAAAATGTTAATCACAAACAATGGGAAATTTACAAGAATGTTTAATATAATGGCGTACCTACTAAAAAGAGAACTATCGTTTTACATGATAAAATATTGGCAATCCTCGTCATCCTTGTAAGGAGCTCATCAGCAACAAAGTTTGCAGCACATTTGATAAACAAGTCACTTTGCGGCACAATCAATGGTGAATTAAATTTTTAATTTTAGATGATGTACCTTAATCGTCTAATATACACCTAGGATGCATATATATATATATATATATATATATAAGTCACCGTCGCCCGTCATTGTGTAACAAGATTTTAAACTTCCTAAAAGTTGAAAAGTTAGGTGTATATGATATCATTTAGAAATGATTTTTTCTATAGTAATCAATAATCATATATCAAACTCGATAATACTTCGAAACTATGAATCTATTAAAAACCTATTAATCAGTGCTGTATTGTGTAGGTACCTACAGATTTATTTCCTATACTTTTTTTTAATCTTAGTTACTAAATATTGTGTGATAATAAAATGATCTAAGATATTTTTTTTAAATACATTTTTAACTATAGAAATTCAAACAAAAATACACTGCAGAGTATGCGAATTTTTGACATTTTTCAGATGGAGCTGGAGTGTAGGTAACATATTATGATATAAAAATAAAACTTGCGTATATTGTCAATAGATAGTAATTTACGATATATTATTACAGCAGCACTACAACACTGTTTACAACGAGTATTCATAATTTAAACTGTAGTTATATCTGAGTATGAGTGTGGCACAAGTGCTTATTTTTTGTTAGGTTAGGTTAGGTTATGATTATAGTTTTACATTTTATTAAAATAGGCAAAAAATATCCTATTGTGATACTGTGATTCTTTCAGAATTTTTTTCTAAATCCTGTGATTTAACTTTGATCTAAAATGTATGTTATACATTATAGTACCTAATTATGAATTAACCATTACTATATTAAAATGACATTATTAACTTATATTATAGTTTTAAATTTAAACACAATAACGTAAAATAAACTTTAAGTACCGACAGTACATAATTTCAACTAAATTACAATACTATAATGAGTATTTTGTATTCTAGTTAACTTTAAACATCGTGTGATTTCGATTTAAAGACCAATACAGATAATAATTAAATTACGAGTACCTATAGGTAATGGTGTTTTTAAATTTATTACTACACATTTGAGTAAATTGTAAATGTTATTTCATTATTTCATTAACAATACGATTCTATGTATTTTTTCATACAATTGTATGTAAATTTTACGTTATATTTTAACATTTTACAATGTAAAAACCTACTTTGAAAATCAACATTTTAATTTTCTTATAATTCTTATATTTAGTTTAAAATATATTAAAATTAACACCTTTTTATACTTTTTAATAAATGCATATATTTGTTTTTATAAAATATTTTTAGAATTTAAAAATTCAATTTCAACTTATTATCTCTTAATGTATAAAAAGTTAAATCTTTAAATTCAATATATCTAATACAATGATTTATTTATTTAAATAAAAAACAATAATAGATATAATAAAAATTATTTGTGATGTATAATTTGTTGAACATATATTTTTTAATAGACCAATATATTCTTACTGCTAATAATTAATATTGGCAAAATATTTGTATTACAATACGTCACCGATGTCAATTTTATACTTACTTAATATGCAATTAATTACGGTTCTATTTTATATTTACAAGTTGCGTAAATATATTATGAATTGTAATTATACAAGAATGCTTATAATTTATTATTTTATGTCATTTCAATCATAAAAATAATTTTTAAGTTTTATATACAAAATAAATAATAAATAAATAAACTATTGACGAATTTAAGCTTTAGCTTAAAATTACTTATAAATTACTATATAATTACTAGATAAATTAGATTTATCTAAACAATGTTCGACTTTAATTTGAATTAATGCAAACTAATGTTTGAATGTTTAAAACTACAAATTGTTTACACTTATAATTTGATTGATCCAACCAATAAATGATGAAACCTTGACGTATACACCGGGTACATCTATTCTGCCGCATCCAAAACCCCAAGACACCAATCCAGCTAATTCAAAAAATCCATCGTCTTGACACACAAGAGGTCCACCGCCATCTCCCTACAATCATAATTTTAACATGAGTAAATTAATATAATATGTTAAATCCTAAGTTTTAGGCTCATCTGTATAATATTGTACAAGTTTGCGTATTTGTGTATATTTACCAATCTAACGAATGAAAGTTATCCAAGTTCGATAATTTTTTATTTTTAAAATTAAGTCTTTTTTGACTGGAAATATATATTTTAGAATTTTGAAATGCATTTTTCAGGGTAACTAGCATATACCGTTGGATTTACAGTTCTAATTAATTTACAATCGATCGGGCTGAAAGCCACGCAGCTCACCTGACAGGCGTCGTTTCCGGCCTCACCACCGGCGCAAAAGCTGCTGGCCGGAAGTATGAATATCTTCTCGGTGACCGCGTTTATCTTTCGGATGCATTCAGTGTCGCTGACCACTGGGATCTCGGCCTCCCGGATGCGCAACGGGATCGGGCCAGCTTCGCCCATGTATCCGTATCCGGTGACCGTGCACCGTTTGCCGGCCGCATGGCTGACGCCCCTTGCCGGCAGGCACACCAGACACACACCATCTTTGAGCTCAGCCTGGCCGTGGAGTTTGAGCAGGGCGATGTCGTTGTCCAGCGTCTGTGAATTGTGGTTGTGGTGGATGTACGTGGTGGCCACCCGGAGTGTCTGTGCTCCCGGACTTCCGTATTTTCTGGTCAGATCGTGATCGCCCACCCGCACGTAAATCGCGTCACCGGACCTCACAATGCTGAAAAATCAAGTGAGGTAACGTTACGACCATCATCGATTTAAGTTGGTATAGTGACAAATCCCACATTTATGTCTAATATAATTAGTATGATATATGAGAATCAGTAAAGTTTTGAAATTACAATCATAAATTAATGTTATAAACTCCATCGTTAGATCCACTTTTCGTCACTCGGGCGATTTGGATAGAAAGAAGACTGTAATTTATAACTTATAAATCAATAGTTTCGGTAAAAATAAAACATACAATGCACTGCTGTTATTTGCGGGTTAATGATTTCTTCTAATATTGGTAAGTCAAATAATATTAGTAATAAGATGCACGGAATCATCGCGGAAACTCGTGAAATTATATAATATTTGTGTTGTTGAAATAATAGAAAAAACCATACATTTTTGTGCAGTTAACTAGGAAACAGTTAGAAAAAATAAATATAGGTACTTCAGTTGCGCGTATAAAAATAATACACTTGAAAATTGGAATGTTGTTTAAAAACTCGTTACGTATTAGGTATAATAATGCTATAATAATCATACACAATTAGGAATAGGACTGCAGTAATAATTGAGACACTGTAATTTAAACACAATCGTAACTTATAATTGGTTATTATTTTTATTTTTTATGTAATTAACATATCTCGTAATACATTACAATATCATTATTAAATTGTAATTGATATATTTTTCCGTATACCATAGTATAAGTACTAGTTCCCACGATATTATATCCCGAACTAGCTGGTAAAGTAGTAACCGTTATGAATCCCATGTCAATACTCGCAGTTACATATCTAAAATTTTACCGTTATCTGTACACATTGTTATTACATCTCATTATACATTAAATATAATAAATATAATGTGTATTGTAATAATATTTTTAAAAGAATGATATATTCAGACAAAGATTATTAGTTCAAATTACTGCGAGTTTAAAGAGGACTGTTTTTATTTATTTTTTTAATTTTATTAGAGAATATGTATGCAATCTATACACAAAGCATAATAAGAATAATATGTGCTACCTACATTAAAAAAAAAAATATGAATATGGTGAGGAAAGAAACCATCCAGTGATCGCATTTCCTTTAAAAAAAAAGAGGACTGTGTAAAAATAATATTCAATATTATATATAGGTATACTCTTGGAAAATTAAAATAACTTTTGATGGATTTGACTTAAACAGCATTGTTAAAAATCTAAATGTATAGCTAACATGTTATAACAAACATGGTATAGCTAACATGTGCTAACAGGGCCCATTAGCTTCTTGAATAATAATATCTATTAATGATAATAATACAAAAAAAWATTATGTTTTTTTAATAATTAAATATTAACCGTACTATTATTGGAWTATACTTATATTATGTACACAGTATACTGTAATTTATGTGGCCAAACGGCTTTTTTTTATTTTAATGTATTTCGTCTGTTTCACGATGGCATCAACAAGTACCAACCTCTAATCGTGCAGTCATGAACCGCTTATATGGATCAAGTAGTAAAAACACTCACTTTGTAACGCAATGCGCAGCAGTCAACACCCATTGAGTGCCGATCAATGCTCCTCCGCACAGATATTGGTTTAAGGAGTTGATCAGCGCCACTTGCCAACACCACTCGGCCGCGTCYGCGTCTTCACCACCGACTACCCTCGACGTCCTCGTCCTGGACGTTCCTTTTACACCRCACACGTACTTGCTGTACGTCGACGGTTTGGAAGGTACAGGATTCGACGTGGTCAACGTGGACACTGTAGGATTCGCCGAATAGTCGACTGAGAGAAAACATGAAATAATTAGAAATATAATGTCAATAATCAGAGCAAATGTATTATACTAAAACTAAAGACGGGCACATACCACAAATATCAGTGAACTCGCGTATAATATTATGGGTACAACACTTGGGATTTTAGTTCAAGATCAATACTATGTCGAATGTCGATGCAATATTAAATAAGTAGGGCACCACACCAATGTGTTTCAAAAATCGTTTGTTTTTTCATCATTCGGAATTTTTTTATCATGCGAATAAAAAAAAAAAGGAAACGATAACACAACCGTATGTAATATAAATTCAAAAAAAAAAAACTGCGCGTAGATGCCTATTTATCAAAAAATGTGGTCAATATTAGTCTAATATTCTGATAAATACTTAAATTTACTAGAAAATCGAAAAAATGACGTCAGTAAGATGGTAGGCGTACAATGTTCGCATGAAGCAAGTTTTGTGGTAAACTATCAATCAAAATCCATTTATATTTTAGAGCAGGGGTGGAGAACCATTTTTGGGTCTAGTGCCAAATGTATGCAATCAAAGATTTGACAATTTTTCACGTGCTCAACATATATGATTGTATGCATTAAATAGAACGTAATAAATACAGTAACATTATCAATTAACAAAGAAATATTAAAATGTATATTAATTTGTTTCTTTGAATCTTTTTTCAAGCAACATTATATGAATATTATAATTTATTCACAATTTTGATTTTCCCATTGAAATTTCGACAAACGTGCCACTTTTAGCACGCGTTTCGTGGGTTTTGTCACGTRAAATTTTTTTTGTGTATTTTACGTAAACTATTATATAATGTTATTATCTTTGTAAAAACTACAGTATTAAACTTATACATCTGTTACAGACCTGGTGACGGAGTGTATACTTGCAACGAACTCGGCACGTGTGGCCTAAACGGCGGTACGGTGTCGTTTCTGTGCGTAAACCCACCATAGGTCTGATGTGTGGATTGCGGTGGATTAACCACGTTGTTGATGACGCCAGTCTTCTGTTCGACGACTTCTCGGATTTGCGTTTTCGAAGCACAACACTGCGTTCCCGGTTTTCGGCATTTGAATACGTCCGTCATTTCAGCGTTTCCTATCAAAACCAAAAAAAAAAAAACAAACTGTTATTTGACGCGAAATAGTTTTTTTTTCTTTTTTAATTTTCGAATTCATTTATTTATTTCAGTTAATTAAAAGGACGCTACATTTGGACGCAGGGCATTTGGTGTATACTTAATACACAAGTGCGTATAAAGTGTTAAATTTAATCTCAGCAGATCATGTTTAGCTCTGTCAGTTTAAAAATTAGAGTGAATTGATCTATCGTTTTGAAACTTGATGGTAAGAACTAGAAACAATACGATATTTCAATTTTTTAGCAAGTTTTTGCATAAATTATAAATGCTCATTAATCACTTAAAAACTGGATCATCATAAAAATCCCACACACGAAAACAGATAATGTTCTTACCATCAAATTTTATAATCGGTCGATTTACTCTACCTCTAATTATTAGGCAAACTAAGTTAAACGTGATCAGCTGAGCGTGAATTCGGCAATGCACTTGTAAAACGTAGACAACAAATTTTTATGGAACGCCTTGTTAATGTAAAAACATTACAAAAAATCGAACTTTATTAAAAAGCATTACAGCACTGCACATCGTCAACAAGTTGTACAAGAAAATTAAATTTAAATAATTAAAAATTAGACAGGATATAAGCCTACAACGTAAAGGATTAACAACATACAAGAATAAAGGCAAACGTAAAATGACCGAGAATTTGGAAGAAATCTAATGTCCACGAAAAAAAAGAGGGGTCAGAAATGTCGAAATAATATGTTATTTTTAAATAACTGATAGAAAAAAGGTAATAATATCGACGCTTATAATAATTCTAACCAAGGTAACGGTAAACGATAATGAATGTATAATAGGTAAAGTCAGGTGGTTCTCACTATTACTCCGTCTCGTATTTTTTATAGTATAGAATAATATAACATTTTAATTCGTAGGTCACGCGTGTTACCGACATTTCGTTACCTATAGGTATTAAATAGGTATACGGAACGATGACTCGATACGGTGTGGTATGAACCTTAAATTAAAAAATACTTACTGAAACACGTGAAAGACAAATAAGGGACGATACACGATCCCGGGCACTCCGGCCGTTCGTCGGGAGGTGCGGGTGGCGTGGCCACCGTGGTGGTGGTGGGCGCGGGTGGCCGGGGTTTGGGTTTTTGCGTGGCATGCGCGGACGACGGTGCGGCCGCCTTGGTGTTGTCGCAGCACACCGAGCCTTGTTTACACGTGGACGTGTACGAGACCAGCACTGACGGTCGTTCGCAGAACGCGGCCATCAGGTTGAGCAGACAGAAGCCTGGACACTTGGGTAAAGGCCGGCCCGTGGCCGTGGTGGTGGACGTCGGTGGCCGGGTCGATGATTGTTTGGACGGCTGGGTGGGACGTGGTGGCGGTGGCTGCGGGCCCGACTGTCCGTCGGCGGGCGCGGTGACGCAGCAACTACTGTCGTCACCGGGACAGTACGCTTCGGCGTCCACGTCATCGCAGAACAGCGCGAACAGCCCGCTGACGCACTCGCCGCGACACTGTTTGCTGCCCACCGGCGGCGCGGGCGCGGACGCAGACGCCGAGGTGTCCGCGGCCGCTGTCGTCGTCGCCGCCGTCGTCGTGGTGGACGTCGATGGCGGTGGCCGGTGTGGGGCGTTGTTTAGGCTGATCCTGGTCGAGTTCCTGTCCAACACGACCAGGTGTTCGGCGCCGGCAAAAGCGTCCTTGGACACGCAACACCGCAGACCCGTCTTGCACATCTCCGTCACGTTCAGAACGGCTTCGCAGTAGTCGGCTATCCTTTCGGCCACGCACACTCCCGGACACACGATGCCTTCGAGATGAAATCATACAATAACCATTATACGAYGCCGTTTTTATAAAAAGTCGCCTAACCTAATTAGTGTTTTTTTTTTTTTTTTTTAATTGTGTGAAAAACAATTTTTGGTACCTTGAGAAATTAGTTGGATTAGAGGTACGGAATTTCTATAGCAAACGTTATTACGAATGATTTATATTCGGTTTTAGGATCTACACAAATATTAAATTTTCGAGTAAATAATTATATGGATGCGTAARATGACTAATAACTTGTAGATACTGAGGAATAGCTGGAGCTCGAAATAAAATTAAATATTTAACGAAACTATTGGAAAACTGCTTTTTTAATCAGAAAGAAATGAATTTTTAGTACAATATATTAAGGCACATTTACAGTGTACTTCGTATATCATATAGGCAATCGTTTGTATAATCAAAATCAAAAAAATGATACTGCTCATTTCGTTAAAATTKTATAATCGAACTAGTCTCGTTAGTGGTTTCTTTCTAAAGCATGCGTACACGTTCCCGATTCAAAAAATTCCCCGTTTACTATTTCAGTTTACCTTCTTACCCGGATTGTCCGCGGACGACGAATTAACAGCCGGCCTCTGCTGTTGGTTGTTAGAAGAGACCTGAGTGACAAAAAAAATAATAACAGTTTTATCAATAATAGTTTAATTTTTCCTATTGATGATTGAGATCAGTAGKTATGATCTRATCTTTTGCGGGACTATCCGAAATTTGATATCCACCAAGAATTTTTGTTCTATWATTAGAGTCAATTTTCGTACCTATGTTTAAATATTAAATTWCAATATAATTATTAGGTATTAAGTATTGGTATTGAATTCAGTCGAAAAATTTTAATATCGTACCTACCATTGAACATTTATTTTTTAGTGGAGAAATAGTATGTATATCACGTAATTGTAAGAGAAAAAACAACTAAGAATTTCACAGGTGAAAATTATAGCTAAAAATTATAAGTAAGATCTTTAAGTCATACAAAATTATAGGTACAAGTATTTGAATATATGAATGATAAATGTGTTCGTTTCATAGCAAAGAAACATGTCGACGACGTATTAGTAATATATTTAAGAAAACAATTTGTAATTTAAAAATAAATAATAAAATTTTAACACACTTTACGCTATAGTAAACTTTGTTGTTGAAGTTAATTGACCAATACACAAAGTTTTATTTGAGAATTTTCAACTCTGGGTAATCGAATAATAACGCCTTATACCTAATAAAAACGTAATACAATTTAAAACTTGAAATTTGCCTCTCCTTCATAATCAACCACTTGGAGCAACAACGCCGCGTTGACTTGCCCCCCCCCTCCTACCTAAGTACGGTCTTGTGTAAAAACATCGTCGATATATGCAAAATGTATTTGAATGCGCACATTATTCATTGAAACATTTCGAGCACAACCCAACATCGCGCATATAATGCAATTAAATCCATCAAGACAGGATCCGTTGAGGGTACGCAGAGGCGAACAGGGATTTAACTCACCGGTTGCGGCCGGGTGCTGGACCCCGCGGCCGGCGTCGTTTGGACCACCTTATTGCTGACGGTGGCCGCCGTGCCGTTGGCCGGCAGCGGAGGAGGTTCCACGCAGCAACGCATCGTCGGGCTGGGGCACTTAACGTTTTCCAGCACCTCGTAGCATATGAGCGTGGCCAGCGTGTGCACGCAAACGCCCGGGCAGTCCTTGCTGTCCGCCGTACTGGTGATGGTGTCCAGCAAACCTGTGTCCAACAAAAACAGTGGTAAATCACAAAAAATAACGATAGGTATACGCAGAGTGTCCCGAGACGATTTACTACCCAATGCGATATCTCCCGAAATAATGGTGATATCGAAATTCTGGTTTTGCAATAAGACTCACAGGGATAAGAACTACARTTATTTCAAATTTTAATGTTTTGGTAAAAAAGTTAAAAAATGTATTTTTTTGTTTAATTATTTCCAAAAAAATTGACAATAGCAATTTTGTAGAGTTTATTTTTCTGAAAATATTGACGTTTCAACATTTTATTTTCATTAATTTCCTGATTTTTAATTTTATTTTTAGTTTCGAGAAAAATTGCGAATTATTTAACCCCGTAATGTTATCAAACATKTGACGCGCATTCCAATACGGCCGGCCGAATACTTTCCGTATTCCTAATRTTTACAATCATATTTTATTTCTTCAAAACTAGAAAAAATATTAAAAATTAGGAAATTAATGAAAATAAAATTTTGAAACGTCAATATTTTCCTAAAAATAAACTCTACAATATCTTCAATTTTTTTGGAATTAATTAAATATAAAAATATATTTTTTAAATTTTTTACAAAAACATTAAAATAAATATAAAAATGAAATAATTGTCCCCAGCCTCACAATTTATTAACAAACGCGCCGATGGCTAGATGCAGAAATATACACTCGACACACTCTATACATACCTATAAATTATAAATAATTATAATTTGTAACCGTGTGATGGCAATGATGGCATTTTATTGTTTATAGAATAGATGTACAATATTGTTACATAAYATATATTATATATGACGAAAGCGAGTTCTGACTCTTCATTTTTTTTTTTAACAAAAGTATATTTAATATTTCAAAACAATATTTTAACCCCATAGGTTATGTTAGGTTAGGTTCACGTATCTAGTATGATGCATCCCTCTCGAAAAACTAAAATGAAACCAGTGTCTATTTCTAAAATGCTCCCATCAGTCAAGACCGTTAAGTCACTGTAGCTATATTATGTAGTAGACTGATCATACATATAGGTATAWATGATTAAAATGAAAATTTAATCGCGAGTAATGACGATAGTGATAAGTTGACGCGTTTAATATCATCTGAACTTACATCGAACGAGAGTATAATTTATTGTTACAATAATATAACGCGCAGGGTAATAGTGTTTGTTTTGATTTATTTTATTTGTTTAAGCACAATTACAATATTTTTGTGAATTTTATATTTACATTTYGGGTAAAGTATTTTAGGTATTAAGAACGAAAAAGATAGTTTGGATACGAACAAAGTGGTCGATATTTTGATTTTGTAGGGACGGGAGAGAGRTTCGAGAGCATTAGCACGTCCACCACGGCACCTAACCTCTTCTACTCGCGATCGAAACATCCAAACAAGTCGTGGTAAAGTGACGGCAACAATAGGCCGTACTTAGTTGCAATAATCACAAAACTTTTCGTCCAGCGACAACAACAACAATGATAATAATATTAATAATAGTAATGATAATAATATAATATAAGTAGGTATTCGGGTCACACGTCAAAGTATATAATATTTTCCAGGTGCATTGTATGAGCGGCCACGACGTGCGTATAACGGTGCTGCGCAGATCGCACGTTCCCGTAACGGTATCCGTGTGGTGGTGATGGAGGTGGTGGCGGTGGTGGCGGTGGTGGTGATGATGATGATTATGGCGTGTGTGTGTCATAGGAAGTGCCGGCCCGTGATCTATACARTTATAGATCTTGGTGCCGGCTCGTGATCTATACGCTTATAGAAACTTGGTGCCGGCCGACCACGCTTTATCGGCAACCGTCGAGGTTTTTGTAATAATATTATTATGGTATAGTCTAGGCAACGGCATTTTCCGCGGCGTGTCGAGCCTATTACAACATGCCATTTGTACCTTGGTAGTGATTATATTATAACAACGTACAAACGATGTTTGCCTCTCTTCGTCTGATAATATAAATATAATATAATCTAATCGTATAGTCATACGTAAGTAGGTTTAAGTGCTGCGCAATAATACTATATAGTAAATATGACTGTGGTGGAGAATACTGTGACTTCCGACACCTACTTACAAACTGTCCATCTCTCTCCATCCAAAGATCTCGGCTAAAGAATCTGTTTTCCACCTCTGGTAATAATTTTTCCCTCGTTGACGCTCTTTCAACCGATAATGTTAACATGATAGAACACAATATGCTAAATTTTATTCTGCGATCAGGGCTCCGAATTTAAGAGTGTGAGCTTTACCAACTATATTATTCCAGATTAATGTACATTGTACATAATTGTCGAGATATTATAATGTAACGATAAAATCTCATTAATAAAAATATATATATATATATATATATGAATGCAAGATTCGCGAAGTCGAATAGTGTCTTATGTTATGATGATATGGCTTGAAACTAAAATAATTTTTTTTGGAGGCGTGCAATGAAAATGTAATTTYCATACATGAATTCACTTCGTATCATTATGACTGTGACGATTGACGTATTAAAGTGAACTTTACTTTGCAGTGTTCCTCTATAACTCATAACATTTTGCTAATGTTCGAATCATTTTCGAATAATTATCACGAAAATGTCATACATTTCTTTGACTACATATTATGTAGCCGAAAATTGTGGAAGTCGTATTTTTTAAAGAATAATAAACGAACGTCAAAATATTCATCACATACATGAAGGCATTGCATAMAACACATTAGGTAATTTAAAAGCATATAATAACTGTATATTATTATGTTACTTCAAATATTCGAATGAATTAGCTTACATAAAATGATTTATAAGTTCAAATGAAAATCCCTTTGTTTAATTATAATTATACGATGTAATAAATTCATTTTTTAATCTCAGTATTCAATATTATTATGATAATGACCCAAGTATTACAAGTATTTAATTTTTTTTTTATTGTCGCATAAACTAAGCTTAAACTATTAATTAAGATAATTTTTTAAGCAATTATTTTTTAACGATTTATTTTTTTATGAAATACTAGCCATAAGTAATGAACAYCTTAGTAAATCCACGCGAAAAACGACCGTTAACGATCGAACGGATTTTAATAATCATCTCATTCAGTAACACAATTACCACGTGCGTTATATTGAAACATGTAGGTATATTTATTTTATGTGCGTGCGCGTGGTTCTATAACACGATAATATTTCATATTATTAATACTATGTCGATAACTCTATGACGGCCGGTTTTGTGAATCAAATAATTGTACTTTTAGTGTAACACCTTGAAAAMATAACGGAAACGGGTTTCGTCCGAGGAACAGGTTTCAAAATTAACATCTTCATAATTCGAAACACACAACCAAGCGAGTAATATAATATTTTGTACTCAAAAAAACTGCCTGGTCACGGAACCTAGCTAAAAGTACACACGCACACGAGCGCATGCGTGCGCGTATAACATTGTAATTTGTGATACAAGACAACGATATCAAAAGAAAATTTAGAAAAAATTTTAAAAATKACTAGACGCGGCATTGTACGTGCATCATAAACTGAATTCGACGGCGGCGGTACTACAATCAAAACAACGGGAAACATTTTTTGGTGGAGTTTCATAGGAACTTTTCAAAACAATAATAGAAGAAAGCCCCGCAGACAGACGTTCCATTGCCACGTGATCTGATGGTTTTCGTTCATTATTTTACTCTAATATAGTTCAATAATCTGGTTGGTATATAGATTTCAAAACAAACATCGTACCAGYGTTTTTGGCAATCAAATCAATTTCGGTTTCGAGCGCCCTAGCTAGGGGACGTCCGAATTATTTATTTTATAATTTTCTATTTAAAGAAATGATGGCGTTAAAATTGTGTATTTTTTTTTTTTGCTTCCGCAACGCCGATAAGCCCACGCAAGGCCACTAGGATATCAAATCAGTGTATCACTATAGTATAGGTACTGTGGTCGTCGTCGACGAGAGGAGTAAGTTGTCGTCGTACCGGACTAGGACAAGACGATTTCGGCCGGTGGCGACGAAGTTTTCGCCGATACCGTCTCGCGGGTTCGGCAACCGGCAAGGTCGCGCGAGTCCTCGCGAGACACCATCGCGGCGGCCGTGCCCGGAAATACCGGCCGGCGATAACGATATAATAATAGCAAAAATAATAATAATAATAATAATAATAATAATAATAATAATAGACCGCCGTCGTCGCGATCGTCACACTCTCGGGCCAATATGATATAGACACGCGCAAAAGTGGGCGTGATGAAACTATGACGACGGGGGACCGTTTCCGACAGCTTTAACGAGTAAAAATATAATATTATGCATAGGTATACGTCTCGCGTGTGCTTATATATATATATATATATATTGTATACGACGACGACGTCTTGCACGGCGGCGGCTGAACGGGGTCAAACGCTTTCTTTACGTCGTATACGCGAGCCGATTGTTTTGCGCCGGCACGCCAGATACCGTTAGACCATCGCCGCCCGCCGTCTTCGCGTGTCGTCGCTGTGATCGTCGGTTAGTGTCCTCGTTCCGGCCACGATGTTATATTATTATGTTCGCGTCGTCGTCATCGTCACTCTCATCCGGTAGAATATATATATATGTATATGATAATGATGATGACGACGATATCAYATTATATCGTTGGTACCTATATCGCTGTCGGTGCCGTTGAATCCCGCCGGTGGAGAGTATTATTACCACCTCTGCAGACGCTTCCGTTTTCACAAACGTTTCACCGTATCCTTTTATACGAGACGTGYGCGTCCACACAATATACAATATAGTTGTATTGTAAAAGTGTCTGTATATATGTATAMAATCATTGTTTCGGAAAAGTTCGGACGAGCAGACAAGGATGGCACAGGGGAACCCGACAAAATGTTGGTCCTCTGTTGTGTTCACCAAACTTWAAATATCTATAGCTCAATGAATCACTCGCTCKAATTTTGATTTTAGTTTATCATAAAGCTTATTAAAGTATCCCAAAAAATATTCTGTTATAGAATATGAAATAAATAAAAACGTATGTTGTCATAAAAAAAAGTATTAATGTTATAAAAGTAAAAAAAAATTATTTACGACGAAAAATTATAAAAATATATTGTTTTCCCGAAAATGTTTATTGTTTTCAAAATAATTAGTGCGTGGACGCTTAAATGGACCCCCTTTGAGATATCGGTATACATATACATATTTATAAGCTGGTGTCTTTGACAACAATACATTAATATATATTATAGTTAAATCATTTTTGGTAAATATTACTAACAACACCACTTGATGAGCATGTTTTGCAATGATTACAACCGAGAGAGWTCATTTATTTATTAAATTTGTAAATTTKACTATACCTACTGGGTATGTGATTGAATTATGGAAAGTGTCTTCCATCTAAATTTAGATTATTAACCTAAAAGGCTAAAACCGATCTTAATTCCTATATATGATAATAAAATTATGAAATCGTTATGCTCCTCTTAATACCATCAAAACGAAAATCCAACTGATTAATTGATTGTAAACTCCGACCCAGAAAACTAAATTAAACGAAAGATAAAGTTGGRCAATGGACACGTACACACGAAATTCTAATGAAACTCGAGGTAGCTATAACCAGGTTACGTATCAGCCATACATACAATCTCACACACAGTTTACTTATGGATAAAAAAAAAGAACCTACAATTATGACGTGCTTCATCATATATTATGGAGAGTTCACCTTACAGTAAAACACATAAATGTCACACTTCTAAATTTCGTCATCAACTCAAAACTATATTAAACAAATTACTATGATGATAATTTATACGCCTAACACTGTAATGTACTGTTGTTATTGATTTGTTTTATAAAATCGTATTTCGATTATTGTCGAATAATATATCATAATAAACACACAACTGTAAACCCCTTAAATACCAAAATGATGACAGTGAGTCACTATAATAATAATTATAAARCTATTATGTACAGGCTTGACTAGAATAACGATTTGTGTAAGAGGTGCAACGTCGTATCGGATTTTATAATATTGAACTGATAAAAAAAGAATGTGTACTCTGCATCTAAACCATGGTGCCTGACCGGTATTCTTGACGCTGTCGTGTAGTTGTAGATGCTACGGACAATACGAGCRCCAATTTATAATACAAACATAGCTAATAATATGACGTGACATACGCGTCACAGGTATGAAAAATATTATAAAACGTTTTCATCAATAACACTAACCTTCCGTATCATACTGCCTCAAAATATTTAAAGACATCAATAATCAATATTTAGAGAAAATTATGATCAAGCGAATCGTCATGAATAACAACCAATAGCTATGATTAATTACTCGTATAACCGCGTACCGTCCCGGCGATTGCGTGTATCGTTAGATTTTAAGCATACAGATTGTACCTACGGTAAAACTTGACAATATGCGTACCTGAGAAAAAGCTGCTGGCCAGTGAGTCTGCGTCCTGGCCGTTGACCATCACGGCGGCGGGTCGCAGAGCGGCCGCGCACAGCAGCAACTGGATGAGGGGCGCCACCACGCCGGGTCGGGCCATCGCGTAGCGGTGGTACTGGTTGCGGGGGGGACGGCGGCTGCACACCCGAAACGGACACTGGCCCGCGGCGGAATGCGTTCGACGGCTTCGAACACCTGTCAACGACGTCTTCCGCGGGTCGCGTGGCTGCGGGTCGGCAGGTGTCGGCACGTTTTCATGACTATCGTATCGTTTCGCGCGCGTCGCAGTACGGTAACCCCGTGCGTTCGCGAAAACTTCCCTTATTTAATAGGTTACCTATGTGAAGATCGTTGTTCACGTGCGCGCTTGCCCAGGGATGGCGGGAGGGCTCGTACACTTGTCGGCGTGGACCAGATGAACAATGCGACGTGATGCGCAGCTCGTGACGTCTGTTGCCGACGGACCGCGTGAAACGTTTGTAACCCGTCACCGCCGCCACAGCTGGACCGGCCCGGGCCGGTCGGAGCGCTCGCGTGCGGTCCGGTCTTCGCCGCCACCGGTCCCCTCCTCGGGACCGTTCGTCGTCGGCTTGGCCACAAATGATGGCGGTATACCTACCCGTATAGACGTTAGACGGTAAAGAATACTTCTATATCGTACCTATATTATAATCTATATATAATATGAGTACACACAAGCGATCGTGTGAATTCGCACACTTTTTACAGCATACAATGTTTGTGTGAATTACAAGTGCATGTAATAGATAATATAAACATATAAAATATGGATAGTCCTGCAAAGCTACTACATCAACACTACGACTTGGTGGTRGTTGCCATTTTTTTGCGGATGAGACTAAAGGAGATCATATTTTACTACACATTATTACAATATTATTACTTGTGCTCTGGGCAGGTTATTACCTACTCTTTCTATCGCGGGATGAGGTAGAAATAATAAGTCATACAGATATCCGTTATTTTACCTATCATCTATATGATTACTCATGACGATGTTATCAGTGTCACTTATTATCACGCAGAAAACCCAAAATGCGTAGGTATACACGCGGCAGTCACACATCATCACCTTTGATGAAAGTAATACCGTTGTCAGTTGGATAATAATAATATCAAATTGCGTTTTATGATATAAATAAAATATTTTATTGTGTTAATTATAATATTATACAGTAATCATCGGTTTTTGGACTCGTGATCAATGGGCTCATTCAACCAATATTGTACTCTAACAGACTGGTTCCGAGATATACGTATATACTAACGCGTAAAAGAAAACATTCAGCTTTTAGATTCTTTTATCATACATTATACTATAGAAAATTGGGTCAATATTTATTATTGACATCTATTTGGAAAATATTTTTTTACAGAATTTAAAATTTAAATGTAACAAAATTATATTTTTTTATTCTTTGACCTTTCTCTTTATTCTCTCATTCAGCTAGTTAATGGACTTCAATACTCGATCTGGTTCTAAAGTGAGTTCATTGCTAATATGCAACATAATATTGTCATCATAATTGTAGGTAGGTACCTATTTTGAATGACCTATTATGAATAAACTAGAAAACCTATGGTGACCCACCATTTTATCATTCAAAATGATATCCTATACAGACTAGAGGTTCCTTAACTTTGTTTTTTTGTGCATGAATATTACGGATTGGAATGTATATACTATTTTAGTAATTAAAAATAACTGTTCAAAATGGTATTACAATTTACATAAATCAGTAAAAAAATTAATACATTTTAAGTTTTTTTAATTATCCTATATACATCCGTGTGAAGTTTTTGTCGACGATTACGGATTATTGGAGTATTTACCCTGATGGCCTGATTCGGGATAATAATAATTTACACAAAATATAAAAAGTTGTMAACTTTTTCAAATCGTATACCGTTTTCACTTTCAGATCAATCTTTGAGCTTTAATTTTCCACGAAGCCTTTATAACTCCGGTAAAATAAATAATGGATTAATGATATTAGTGAGTATATAGAAAGGTAATCATGATTCACGATAATTATGAAATAAATGACAAATGTAAAAGTATAAAAAACATTTTAATACGTACATTTGTATGAATCATAATTTTTTTTTCTTATATAAGGATTTACGTAAAACGCTTTTTTCGTATCAAAGGAGAGAAAGATTAGCTTCGTCATCTGTTTCGATGGGTTTGTATAATATTGTGGTTACGAAAAGATCTATCCAGCAGTAGGTACCTATACAAATTATAATATCACGAACTTAAGGTAATTGGTATACTTACCAATATATTAATGTTATTATGTTAATATTATTTTTTTGACAAATTTTCATAATATTCATAACATCGGTTTTAAAATACATAACAATAATATACCATATTGTGGCTATATGGCATATATACTTTAAAAATATTATACCTATCTCATTATAATATCACCGTAATACTCGATAACCTGACGTTATCTAAATAATATCTAATAATACTATATAATAATATTACCCACGATTCTACATAGGTACATGATATTATATAGGATGTCCCATGAGGATATACATATACCCATTAGCCGTAGAAGGGGACTCGCCACCCGAATAAAAACCCTTGTCTAATATGTGAGTCAAATAAAAAAAAAAATTGAATAGATTTATGATAAATTTATTATCTCAGGAGATGTCGCAAAGGGCAAATCCTCATGGGACACCCTGTATATGTATACATATTATTACTTTGCGGAGACTTAAATATATGTATATACAGACTGTACCACGTAGAAGTACGCAGAAAAGTCGTACAGCCGTATTAGACCAATCAATAATATTAATACTATTACGATTGTTGAACGTTATAACGGTATATTTATATAATAAATATATTAATTTATTATGTTTAATGCATATAATATTGTCACGAGTGCAACTATGAAGGTCGCGGAGAGGATTATCGTCTAGCGAATCAAACGAAAAGAATGCACATTCCACCTAAGTTTTATAGGTAGGTTCTTATAGCGGGACAACACTGCCATATATGTAGGTACATATATTTATGATATTATATCATAAATATAACTAAGTTATTATTTACGATTTGCGAGTGGAAACTCAAATTCAATGATTTCCTCCCACAGTAACTCGCGCCAAACTATATGGTTCTTATAATATTATTTATCTTTATATAATCAACATTATTATATTATTTATATTACAATCTTAATATTATCCTATTTTTATTTCATACAATTTTTTTCTCAGTCTATAGGTCGACAGGAACGCATCTTATTCCATCAGTTACATATATAATATATACATTTTACAAATATATGTATAGGCACAACGCATCATACGCCATATACAATATATATGATTATAAATTATGATTGGTGCTTTGAATCACACCAGCGAATAATAACTATCAAAAAGCTATAATATATTTAATAACACGCTATTACATATGTATATATAATATATAATATTATAACCCGCGGACCACACGCAATACATAATATACTGTCGTCGTATTTTCTACGAGTCCTATCGGCTAATCCATAAGATGCCGCCGCGCAGAAAAATCTCACACAAGTACCTATATAATATTAGATACTTATATAGGTACGTATATTTAGGTACAATAAGAATATATAGAATTTACGGAAACCGGTAAATACATGCTTATGTATTGTATGTGTGTATATTATATGTATTTGTGTGTGTACTATGTACATTATATATGTACATGTGTATTTGTAAATGCACATACATGTATATAAGTATATATATATATATATATATACATAATAATACATTAAGACTTGATTGGTGTTGTGGTTTTATAACGGGTTCTTCTGACATTCGAACAATATTCATTCACGCCGTGTTTGCCCGTGGGCCACCACTCCGAATTCCGGGTCCAACCCGATTCAGGCGTTCCTAAAAGGAAAAAACCCCGAAAAAAATCTATTAAATGCGATGAGATCAATTTACGGGGCGATCGGTGTTACTCTTCGTATTATTCAAATTAAATATTGTACATAAATTAACAAATCTATTTGTACTAACACAGATTGTAAATATAAAATATATTGTTAAACAAAAAAAAAACAGATTCAAATCGTATCATCATTCATCGGTCATATTAACTGATAGTTGGTAGTCGGTACCACAAGATGGGTATTGTATAGATTAGCCGAAGAACAGCTGCAACAGTGCAACAACTAGCAAGCTGCTATGAACTAGATGTGAATCGGTAAACGAAATAATAAATCATATTCATTGATAATATGACGATACAATATTGAGTAATCGTAATCTGTCGAGATTCAAATGAAGTTACTAACGAAATTAATTTCGTGAACGACCCATCCCTTCAATTACCTACCTAAAATGCCTTGATTTGTGAGGTTAAACGGTTTAAGTACGATTTTTAAACAAGGTTTATTATATTTTACTCGTGATACAAGTGTTCAATAAAATACAACCCAGTGGTCAGTACCTTGMACATTCCACACAATACATACTATTGTTCTGTGCTATATGAAACTGCACGTTCTATATTAATTATTAGCAAATTTTCAATAAATTATAGGTAAGCAATAGTAGTTTGATAATAATTTCGATTGAAGATGTATTAGGTAACACAATAATTATTTTGTATCGATTATCGATTTAGTTTATTGATAATCGGTAGAATGAGAAGAAATGGATTGATTGGAATGGATGTCATTAAGATGGTGCAACACCCGTTTTTGTTGGTGTATTGGTGTATTATCTGTGTTTTGTTGGAAGTATTTTATGTATATGTTTATCTATATCTGTGGATGTAACTGATCTTTTTCATGTCTTTACTGTCATAGTGCCATTAGTCTTATGGCTTAAATATTTAAGCCATGGTCTTTCTCTTCTTTTCCGGACTCGGTTCCATCAACACTTTTCTGTGGTTGCTCTTGCTCTTGTATTTATCTGTTCAATACACTTCAAAATTAGTTGTTCGCTATGAATAAAATTCTTATATAATCGCACTCTAACCATTACGCCTCTAATTATATAACATTACTTCTTTGTGGTAAATATCATTCAAATTAATTATATTATTCATTCATTCATACGAGTTTTGCAACTTTAGGATTATTTTATATGTGTTTTCCACGTGGTCAATGTTCATGTATATGTGTTGTCAACTCAGTTGACTCAACTGGCATAAAGTTGCAGGTCATTATTATTATTAGTATGGTCAGGGTAAGCTGGTGCACCACATTGTTTATATGTATAATTATGTAAGTATTTATTATTATAATTAATATAATTACTACTGTTTTATTATAGTTCCTATATTGGCTGTTGTTACTGTTAATTTTTTTATTGTTTTATTTACTATTCTGTTAGAGCCAGTGTTGAACATTACTATTATTATATTTATCACCATTTATGTTATTACCAACACTTGGATTATTATTATGTCGTTCAGTATTATGACTACTACCTTTATATAATAATGGTTTTTTACCGTTCTTATAATAAAATTACTGTTAATTACTCTATATTATTGTAATTACTGTTCCTACAAATTTATATTATTATATCATTCTGTCTGTTATGATTTATCATTATATATCATTAAAACAATCTGCTTTTTTAAAGTGTTGGAAAAAATGTTGGTTATTGTACCAAAAAAATTTGAAAATTTAATTCAAGGTTCCTTATAATTTGTTTTTATTTTAGTTTAAAAAAAAAATAAAAAATCGTTATAATTTTGTTATAAAGGTTTAAGTTCAAATTTTTACGAAATAATAATATGTTAAAATCGCGGAAATTCATAAATTTCTTCTGTATTTATATCTATGGTTAAAAAATTCAAAAACCGCACAACTACCGAAAATTTAACCAGTTCTTTAGATTGTCATTTTTTTTTATATAGTTTAATTTTAAAACTATTTAGCTTATTTTAAGGCTATTTATAGACATTTGAAATATTTGTTTTTGTTTATTTTTTTATTTTTTATAAATATCGATAAAACTTTTTAGGTTAGGTTAAAGAGTCAAAATAAATTTAAGATTGTATACGAAGTTCCTCATAAGTTAGTCTTATAGTGATTAAAAAATTATAAGAATACATAGGCATAATTTTTTTTTATTAGCGTTTGATGTCCAAATATTGACAACAGTTCGTTAAAATCATAAATATTTGCAAATTATTTTGTAGTTATAATTCATAAAATGTTTTATATAAGTAGTTAAAAGTTGAAAACATAATACAAGATTTTCCATAARTTTGGCTTACAATAATTATAAAAGAACTTAAATGTTGGGCTATTATAATGTCATTAAAACATAAAACACATTTTTCATCATTTACTTGAAAATATATTCTAGGCTAACAAATAATCTCCGTTCAGAATGGTTTTTCGTATGCAATGATACCTATCGTTGGATTCAAATTTAATACATACATAATAGTGATCAAGTGTACCTATAGCAGAGATATCCACTTGACTACGCTTTTTCTTATTTTGAATACATTACCTTGATGATAATAAAAATTTGTGTTGAATTATAGTAGAGAATTATATACGTTGGTGTATTTTTGTTTGCGTAGATACTTACATATTATGTACCTACCTAACCACTAACCCATGTTGGTTTCGTGTGTGAACTTACCAAGGCCCATATTAAGAGCATATAGATGGCCTACAAACGTATTTATAGGGGCCAAGTCCTTTTGGCTTCTCTATTTACGTCGAAGCGCATACTTAAAACTGGATATCAAAATATTAATTAAAGTTTAATTATTATTTCACTTTCATGTGAAAGTATGAATATACTCTTAAAATCTACGAGTACTTTTATTAGATAGTTAAGAAAGAGTTTGGAAAACGTTCTTGGAAAATGCACATTGGCACCCATACAAACATTATAATAAGTATATTAATTTAATATCCAAGACAAGATAAAATAAATCTCCATGGAATATATGTGGTCATCTATAAAGATATTTATCAATTGGATTGTACGTTTCTAAGGAATATCAATAATATTATTATAGTTAAGTGTTAATGACGTTAATGGTAATATCATCTGCAGGTTATGAATTTTAATTTTATGTTCTTCAACTTTTTCTAGCCACGTTCCAGCAATAACTTCTATTTTCTTATCTGATTTATTTTAATACTTCATTTTGACAGTACCTTTAATTTCAAACATTTATTCCATTACTTAAATAAATAAAGTATGAACCTGTCCTGTGTACAGTGTATACACCAAATGATACACCACGGACTAATATAAATATATAAAAAATATTACCTGTCGTTATCAACATTCGTTTCCAGTCCTGTATCTTAGTTCGTAGTGATTATAATAAAAATATTCGACAGCTTTTAAATTTTTTCTTTTCAGACCATCATCTATCGTGCATTCGTGCTTCGAAGTGTGCGACGTTTTTTTACTCCATGATTACGGCGTCGGCTACATTCCGTCCTCACCATCATTCTCTCTCTGTTAACGTTTCGGTCTGTCCACACATGAAAACGTGCTTTAAGACCCATTTTTTGGTGATTGGTAAGTGAAATTTTTATATTTTCTTGCGCTTAGTCCTAAACGGCTGGTTTACGGACGTTGTTCGTTGAATTCTTTATGAATATAGTCATAAATATTACTTGGTTGCGCGGACTTTGCGAACCACAAATTAGCTTATCAACCATGTTCGTACAGAGCCGTGTTTAGGTTATGGTGCTCGTGGTTTTCAAATTCTATGTGTCAAAATTAATTGTAAACATATTAGTCCTATTACACTTATATTTGGTGTTATAGAATTTAAATTTTCATTGTTCTTGATCTACCTTTTTACTTTACACATTGGTATGATTAATACACAATATCTATACCTACCTACGTCCTCAATTTATTTTTCAACATAACGAAACAAATAAATAATTACATAATTTGTTTAACTTTTTTCAGATAAAACTTGATTCTCTGTTTTTCTATCATATAAAGTCAAATAAGACAATATGCCTGTAAGTATTGTACCGAGTACCATTTGTCATAGAAAATGTATATTTTCAATTTGTTATTGTGTTATAGTTGGCTAAAGATTTGCTTCATCCTACTGCTATCGAAGAGCGCAGGAAACACAAGTTAAAGCGCCTTGTCCAACACCCAAATTCTTTTTTTATGGATGTCAAATGCCCTGGATGTTATAAAATTACAACTGTATTCAGTCACGCTCAGAGCGTAGTTATATGCACCGGATGTTCCACAATTTTATGTCAGCCTACCGGAGGACGAGCTAGATTAACTGAAGGTAAGTTTTAGTTTTTTAGTTTTTTAATTTTTTTTTTTAGATTCAAATTTTAATGTAGGTAGATAACTACTCATATAATATTTATTTGATAAAATGTTTGATTGGTATGGTTAATTTTAAATCAAATTTTACTTATATTATTACCTTATAAACAATTTGAACTGTTAAGAGAACATTTATTAATACATTCAATTGTTTTTGCTAAATGTTGTTATGTTTATTCTATGGGTTTATTAAGGCTTACTGGATATTTCCTGTGTATTCCATTATAAAGCAGCCATATTCATGTCATAGGTTGCTTAGTGCCAACATAGTTTCAAAGATAAATTGCTAATACCTCTATAGAATCTAAATTAAATGATGTCTTTATTATAAAATGTTAAACTTTCCTTTTGCTTTTAACCTTGGATTTTTTTATTTAGTTAACCTGCGGCTACATAGGCCATTGAGTGTAGGAACTGTAGGGTTTTTATATTGGGTAGGTTTTTGGCACCCGTGTGTGTGTTTTTGGCAGAATTTCTAGTGGGCACCAGGTTTCTGCTATGCCCGTGTGGGGGACAGCGGCCTCTCTCCAGACACCGTGAACTGCTCGGAAAGCGTTGCTGCTCATGACTGGAAATCAAACCGGTGATGGTGCTCATAGCAACTGTTGCCTAAATCCACCGGGTACTTCACCCCTTCCCCTTGGATTATGTTATATAATATATTACGCGTGGCGTTGARTTGTCTGACAAGACCCATCTACTATACGCCATGTAGTATTAACTAGTTGTATAATCCAAGCTTTGAAAAGTCTGGAGATAGGGTATGCTGAGTAAAAGCTACTTTACCCCCACTTTTTTTGTTATGGCAAAATGAAAATTTAAATTAATGACAAAATTAATTTAAATTAATATTTTTTATACATCTTAAGTGAACAACCAATCATTAATTAATGTTCTCTTAAAAGTTGTTAGTTATTATGTGATAGGTACTTTTTTAAAGTAATCTACGATTCAAGATTTTCATTTAAAATATATATACTTTATTATCAGTATTTTAGTGTAATATATTATGCTTTTATTCAATTCCTATTTCCATTTTTTGGAATTTAACAATTTTCTAATAGTTAAATACAATAACATAATTTTTAATTTAAGTGTTGAAAACTTAAAGCTTATTTATACTCTAAATTAATTATTAATTTTTAATAAATTTTTTTATATTAAARCCAAATCCATTTAAATGGGACATCATATAAAAGTGACAATAGCTTAATGAGAAAAGTCCCAAATGAACGTATCATATGTAAAAAAAAAAATTGGTTAATGCGAACCAGTAGATCACCGCCTGATGTTTCCAAATTAAGTTGATTTGATTGTATATAATTTTTTTTTGTATTTTAATTAATTCTACAAACAGATATTTATTAGGCCCTATTGAATATATTTATGATATATATATATATATATATCTAAGTATCAATACAATAATGCTTGATTCCAAATAAGAAGTATTGCTTTTGCAAACATTGAATAAGGTCCCAAATTATATATATATATATATATCTAAGTATCAATACAATAATGCTTGATTCCAAATAAGAAGTATTGCTTTTGCAAACATTGAATAAGGTCCCAAATTATACTTTACTTTTGGAAATGGTTATTTATGTTTGCAGTCTATTAAGTTACATTATTTGGTTTATATTTTTATAATATAAAATTTTTTTAAAATATAATCAGAATAAATACCAATTTTTGTAATTCTTTAAAATGTGTCAAATAATTATTTTTATCTTATTTTAATCCATAATTATTTTATATTTCAGGTTGTTCTTTCAGGAAGAAAGCTTACTAAGATCCTGGCTCCTGTATTTTAATGTACAATAACAATATTGATATGCGTTGAATAAAAAAAAACCATAAAAAAATTGTTTATTTTTATTTTTTATTTCTGCATTTACACCAGGGTTCTTGAAMACTTGCGGGTATACAGTCTTCATAACGTTTTGAAGTTTTAAACAAAGAATTACACATGTATTAATATTTTGAACTTTGTTCTAATAGTTAATCATTGGCAATTGAACAAATTTTTATTGGTTATAATTTCAAGATCAGACTTTGAACAGATAAAGATTTATGTTATTAGCTACATTTATAATTTTGAATATATTGATAACTTATTAGTTTTAAATTTTAGTTTTATTGGCATACCAAGATTAAATATACGTAGCAATGTACCATGACACATGGAAAGGTGTGGGGGGACTACATATTTAGTGTTGACAAATTACATTTTTTATAATTGGAGTCTAATATATTTTATAACTGGTTATTCTTATAAGTTAATGAATCTAAATTCTAAATAATATTTTTAAGACGGCATTGTTTAATATATAATATATTAATGTGTATTTAGTCCATTAATATATATTATACACTATGACTTAATATTTTAAGACCTTATTAATAATATTATATCAAAAAAATAACTAAATTAATTTAATAAAAGAAATATTGTCTCTTTAACTATATACAATTGTGAAAATTTTGAACTACAAAATAATTTTTGAAAGGTCTGAACTTTCAAATTGTGAGTAACAAAAGTTATACCAATGTATTTTTGAAGTTGCTAGGAGTGCAACTCATCAAATCTTGCTACTAAACTTTTTAGATTATATTTTGTTATCAACATAGAAAACAATTCTAAAAAAGTTTTTATATTCCTAATAATAATAGTTTGAAATTAGTAAATATATTGAAAATGTTAAATGATAACTTAAGTTAAAGTTTCTTTTTTTTTTTTTTTTTTTTTTTTTAAAAAAAAATTTACAATCTATACCTTAGGMACAATAAGTAAATGTGAGACAGAATATATATAAGGTATCAAAACAATTAATATTAATATTAATATGAGTTAAAGTTTCTAAAAATAATATTTTTTGAATAATAATATATCAAAATCTTGGAGKAGAAATTATTTTATGAGTGAATATACAGTCTCAAAATTTGAAATCCAATACATCTTATATGAATCGTTATAATTTTGAGTTTTATTTCTCAAATCATAAAAATTACACATTTATAACAATCAAACATCAAAAAAAAATTGTCTACTAATAGCTTATAGTAGTGACGATAATTTTTTAACTGCTGTTTTGTTGAATAATGTTCAGTTGGAAATATTTGGATCCCATAAAAATATTGTAGGGTATTCAGTATATTTTAAAATATTTTTTTGAAGTGCATTATTCCTTCAAAATTTACTGGTTTTCTGGATATTTTGACAATATCATGCATATTTTAACATTTTATATCTCCTATCAATAACTCAAAAGATATTATATTCAGAATATTATTAAATTATAAATGTTGGCGCTAATTTAGAAATTTGTTTAGGAAAATTAACATTTAAAACAAACTAAAAAGTATTTGGTATGGTTAATTTGTATACTTATTTCAAATACTATTTTTCTTAGGTATTCGATTATATTTTATTCTAAATACTTTTTAAAAGTATTTTACCCAAGTCTAGCCTAATATCTACCTATCGAACTAATCAGTGGCGTGCTGAACAGCTTTTTTTTGAGGCAACTGCCTCAGAGAAAATACAGGTGGGTGGGTTACTAGGTGTGCTACTGGCCAACTGGCCACTAGTTTGATCGTACATTGAGTTAATAAATAAATAAATAAATCAATAAAAAAAAAATGCAAAAATAAYTTGGTCTGGCAGGTGCCACTGGTCAAAATTAATTTGGCACTCAAAGGGTTAAATATCATATAAAGGTATACAATTTTTTATTAAGTGAAAAACCTGATGGTTGTAGGGTATGTGTCAAATTGTATAGTTTGCCTCAGGTCTGAAAAATGTTCTGCATGCCACTGGAACTAATATTTTAAAATTGTAATATTAACTACGAAATACGAATCGAGTAAATTGAATAATTGTCACACAGGACATTAAAACTAATCGAAATATGAACTTCACTTTTCTCAACACAGATAAGACAATTTAACTGTAATTAAAAAAAAAAAAAAAACTTGGTGTACTCAGCATAATATAATATGATGAGATCGACCTCGAAACCTGGTCTGGTACTCTGGTAAATTTACTTGCGTTGTGATATACCGGAAGTGTAGGCATAATGCATAACGCATACATTGCACATATAGGTAGATAGTAGATACATTATAAATAAATAAATAATATGATAAACACATCGAAAATTAAAGGCTGTAAACTAGTTGTAGACGTTAAAATTATAAAATATGATTTAATCATGTTATTTTATAATTGAAGAATTTAACTTATAAATCTTATAACCTAATAGTGTATTTATCTGAACTACGCAATCAAGCAAATAATTCAGCGAATAACAATAAAATTCTGATTACAGTATTAGTGGAATACTGGAATAATACAGAATAGTATCTTTACACTTTTGTACAAAAGTATAGAACACGGTAACACACTACACCACATAACCACATTTGTAGATTTTTAAAACATCACGATTTCTGATTTCACAACCAGTCGAGGGTATTTTATAAGTGAGGGTTTTAGGTACAGTCTTTTATTGTGAACTTACTGTGAAAATAAGTGAACGAAGTTCGTAATAGTGGCGTAGTATTACACACAGTAATATTATAATTTATTTTATCATGAAATATTGGTATAGCGTTGATGAGAGGTGAGTGAGTTGATTTTGTTAGTTCGATTTCAGACTTTCATTATATTATTGTAGTCTATGGTTTAAAGTTACCCGCGTCTTCGTATCATCACATCAGTGCCGCCAACGTACTGGTGTGCTTCCACCGTTGCTTGCCGATGTGCAGCGTTTGCCGTTGAAGGATCTATACCGGTGACTGGAAACCGGCGCATCGGTCGAATACCGCGGACAGCCTGCATTGCCGTCCGTATTTTGTATGCTTCGCTGATAACGCGCTTTGTTTACGTTTGTTGATATCAATGTTTTGAGTATAGATAATAAAAAAATAAAATAAAAAAGTAATAATAATAAATTACTCGTTATACACACACTCACAAACACATATATACGGTTATTATATTTTATTAATATATATATATATAACAATAATAAAAGTGTACACGGTATTATCGTTAGTTGGTAAAAATATTTTTTGTGAATTTCGTTATTATTTTTCAACTATTTTCACCCGACCATTGGCCCCGGATTACGTCTGGACGCCTGACGTTTAGCGTGTCGACCGATGCCGTGTACCTTTCGCGCCTCACCAACACCGGACTTTACCATCAGCATTCGTTGTCGTCGTCGTCGTTGTTATTGTTGTCAAAAACTTTGTGGTCATTTGTCATTGCTGTAGTGCTCAGTGAAGGAAGTTGGCACTCGCTGCAGACTCCTTTCAATTGTGACCACTGAATTGGTGAGTAAAGAAAGTATATACACCGTTGGGTGAGTTTTAGACACCTGACTATTTGAGTTACTACTATCATTGAATTTGTGTTGTCCGTGTTGAGATCCCTAACGTTCGACGGTAATCGACACCATTTCAATAAGCTTATTTCAAACGTATATGTTTTGTGTCACCACTATCATTACAATGCTGCTAATCAAATATACTGTGTTTATTAATTTTGTAATTATTAATTTACAGGGTGCGGAATGTGGTAGCCAACAATATAATTAAACTGTTAAAGCGATGCAGAATGTATTTTCCCGGGACATGTTTTCAATGGGCACATTTGATGGGGGAGTCAAGTGTAATGGCCATGTCCAATTGTCTGGACGCACATCAAAAAAAGACCGCAAGGGGTGTAAGAAAGAAAAAATTGAAACTGTACTAAAAAACCGGTTCATTACTCCAGCAAAAGTTAAGCAGCCTGTGATTAAATTGCCTAAAATTAATGTTAAAACTAAAAATCAAGTCATTAAGCCAGTTGAATCAGTAAAGAATAACACCACTGTTGATCCTGTGGTGAATAGACCAAATCTCAAAGATGATGTTCTTAAGTTTAAAGAACTACTGTACAATACTACATCTCCAACACCTCCTCCTGTTGATGTCCCCGAAAAAATTGATGATCGTTTGTCCACCGTAATTGAACCGTCTCCAAAAAAGTCAAAAGCCAAAAAACGAAATAAAAATAAGGCTGATAAAAGTGTGTCTGTTGCAAATAAAAAACCTGATAAAATAGATCCTTTGAATGAAAATGAAAAAAACCAGTTGAGCTGTAGCATAATTACTATTCCTCCTAAAAGAAATCATGCTAAGTTAAGTAATTGGCAAAAAGATTGTGGAACCAGACATGAAACATTGCAGAGGATACTAAAAGAATATAAAAAGGAAGCTAAATTGAGGGAAAACCTATATCCTTTAGGTAAGTTAATTATATTATATAATATTGATTCTATATTTATGATGTTTAATTTATTAAAATTTTTTTTTTTTTCTAAAAAGATTTAGTATCATCTGATGCATCTTCTGACACTGATGATCCATTGAGTTTAGAGTTAGAGGATGCACCGTATCAAAGATTTTGGTTACCTTCTGATCTAAATGAACCTTTAGATCGAGATGCTAAAGTGAAAAACTTGCGATCAGTTCTTCGGCGAAGGTTTCATCAAATATCTAATCTTCCTGATAACTCACCATCTCCTGATTTAGTATTAGCAATGACGAACGCTATACGACATGATCCTATTTGTATCAACCAATTAGTATGCCAAGAGTCTGATTTAAAACCTAAATTTAAAAGGTTAGTGATAATCATTAAATTAATTTTATTTTAGTTAAAAATATGTTAATTATACATAGTTAACTATGATTTTGGAAAATTAGTATTACAATATTAATTGATTTTCAACTAAATAATTGATTTTGGTTTTATTTTTCAGTATTGGTGGTGTGTCTATGGTACAACAAAAATGTTGTTTGGAAAGATGCCACTATCCTKCTATACCGTGCACTCGTCATTGTTTTAGACATATTTTACAAAATGTTGATCAACTCCTTTTTGAACACTGTTCTGCACGAACTGATCAAGGACAGTGTACCAATGCGGTGTTTAATATTCGTGATGTACAGTCTTTGTGCTTTGACCATTTGTACTCTAAAGACACAATAATTCCGACAATAACTCCGGTGAGTTGGAAATATCCATGAGCACAATTTAATTTATTAACTTACACATAATATAAAAATTATTTTAGACTGAAGAAGTACCTGCTGTCAAGTCTAAACCACGTAAAAGGCCAAAAAATGCTCCATTTAGTAAGCTGTCTAAGCGTAGTAAAAAGAAAAAGCAATTGCCTAAATTCCCACTTGAGCCTCCATCATATACGGAGACAATCGAACCTAATACTATTGAGCCAATTACATGTGCTAATGATCTGCCTCAAAATATAAATTGTGATGTTACATCACTTTACTCATCTGTTGCCAATCCTGATATTTATTTACATCCTGGTAAATATTAATTCAACTTCTTATATGATAGAATAGACTGGACATGATAAGCTGGCTCATTATAGTTTGTGACTATTGAAAGACATATACTTTRGAAAAATATTAATTGTTGGTTTTGTCATTATCTATCCATAAAAAAAACAGTATTATTTATGTAAATAAATAGAACTTATGGATTTTAATCAATATTTCCCATTAAATATATGCCTCTCCTGAGCCGCATATAAACTAATGACACAATGCTCACTTACAGTCCATTCTATCATGCTATATGACTTACAGAATTTTTTAATTTAACAAAATTATAAAAAAATTATTTTCAACAGTTGGTAGTAATATTATTACACACGAAGTAGAAGTTGGTGACGAAGTACTTGCTGGCTTAGATGCAGCAGATTTAGCAAGTCATGCATCACGGTTATTGGATGATCATGATGATATTACAAGCGTGTTCAGTCAAATTCCTGTAGATGCATTCAATGATCTCTTTACTGGTTAGTATTGATAAAAAATAAATATGTAATTAATTATGCTGATTTATATTTATATGTTATTATTTTCTTTCTAAAGTTGATAAAAATGGACAGTATGTACCTTCTCGAGAAGAAACTGAAGAATTAGAAAGAGCATTGGAAGCTGTTGACATGGATGTCAGATCACTTGAAAGATTGTCACAGTCACACATGGCCAATATTTTGGATCCTGCTTCACTACTAGCAGACTTACCGATACCTCCTTTTTCCAGCTCATAGCAAATTCAAGGTATTAACATAACTAAGGTAATCTTACGAATAAAAGATAATTATTATTAAAAAATGAATTTAGGTAATTTCTTAAAAAAAATACTATTAGTTTAATTAATTAATTTTATTTATTTATTTTTCAAATTTCCATCTTGCCGAATCTTTATTATACTTTACTAAACGTTTGTGATAAATAGTTTAAAAAAAAGTTCAAATACAATTTATAATTATATAACTTTTATGATTAGTAGTCAAAATAATGCATTTTATTTACTGTTTAGTGTATTAATGTTTCAGTGGCAAATATCTATTTGTAATGTACATTGTTAATAAACTCTGCTTTCAAACAAAAACTACATATTACTAATATAATAATTTATTCTGATCAATAAACTATATTTGAATTAATCATTCGATTAAAATAAATAATAATAATAATAAATGATAAATAAAATTGAATAAAATGTGTATTGTAATTACTTGATCACGTGATAATATTCTGATTAAATTTACAATTAGTGATTTTTGAAACTAAGCAGTATTATACAGTTAAGCATTAAATTATATAGAACTGTAATAAGTAAAAATATAAATTACCTTGCTTATTACCTTATTAGCTAAATGTTGTATTTGTTTAATTTTAAAGTTAAAATAGAACAAACCAAATATAATTTTAAATTATGAAAACCAAGGAAAATGTGTAATGTGATAGCCATAGTTTCTACAACCTATTATTTTTAATTTTTGTTTTATATATTTTACTTAGGTTGATTAATAATTTAAGTATATTTTAGTTATTAATATGAAAATTTCAATTATTGGGTGTTTTTTAAATTAATTTAGTTATTTTTTATTGATGAAAATTAGATGTATAATTTGTATATTTTTTAATCAAATAAATCACATTAACATTCCGTGTAGTATGTCAAATAGAAATCAAATTTTATGCTGTTACCATTACTTTTTAATAGAATATTCTTATTTATTTGACTTACTTTTAATTATAAAACATAAATACATTTTAAATGTCAATATCTGTAAATTATTCTTTTACAACTTTTTCAAATCTGTCTTCATATTTTCCCAATTCATACTTATATTACATTTTTAATAACATCAAAGTTTAATGCTATTATTTTTTCTTGATAGAATTCTTGACTTTACAGTTTACCTTAAGTGTGTTAAAATAATTTGAATTGTGTTTATTTTTTGTATTAAATAACTCTAGTAATTGTGAAATTATTGTTACAACTTAATTGAAAATTGATTGTCTACTTGACAAATTTAATTTTAATTACTTCTACTGTATAACACAGTAATGATTTACCTATTTAAACCTCATGAATAATTATTAAACATATAAAATATGATTATGAGTATAAATGATTAAGATTAACTATTATATAACTTGCTGTATACAATTTTAATTGGTAAATTTGTGTAAGTACCTAATTTAAAATCAATATAATCACATGTTTTTATTTGTTGAAGTACTGTTAATACATATTAAATAATTAAATAATAAATTCATACAAGGCTAGGTAAATTAAGCAATTTTCCATCTTGTTAAGTTATTAGGTATAAAAAAATATAATAGTAGAAAAAAAACTTAAAAATCAGTTAATATTTACAATCTATGCCAAAGTACAATAGACAAATTTGATAAAAGTTTAGACAAAAAAATAAGAATGTTAATACCATATCTATACTAAAACTGGGTTATATGTTATTGTTATTGTTTTGACTAAAAATTAATTTGCAAGTTTGTAATTTTCTATKGAAATTGAAATTATATGTATGTAACATGTTATTTATCATTATTGAAATCCAGAATTGCATTCAACACTAATAGTCTACAATTATTACATATAACATTATAAATAATTATTTTAGTTTCGTGTATCTTTATTTTTTGCTAAGAAAACAGCAATTTGTATAAAATAATATTTTTAAGTCTTTGGGGCTGGAACAAATTAACTTAATGTGACTATAAAATTAATTAACTACTTAGTAACTGCATATCATGGAATTAAATTTAACTTGTATAAGCCCAATCTTGATTATATGTATAAAAGTAAATTGTAATCTACTATAAATTGATTGTTTAGTTGGTCAAGTTTTAAATTGATTATACAGAAATGTATGATTAGTATTTAATTGTTTTAAGTCTATGTTGAGTTAACTTTACCATAGTTTCAATAATTTTATTTTTAGGAAAACTTGTGAAATATTGCAGTTAATATATTTGTGATTATACTTTTGTTAAATTAATTCAATGTCCAGACGTCCTAAATTAATATGTTTGAATTATTCATAATTGAAATATTAAATTTTAATATCTTTCAATATAGTTATATATATAACTGATGTTTTCTTAATGGAATTAATTGTCAACCTTAGTTGGATTTTGTTTGTGAATAACATAACCGTTTAGTAAAAAATTAATTCAATGTTTTGTAAGTGACACATGTACAATATTAACAATGTGCTTAGCTCATTAATAATTTAATTAAATATTGTAAAAATGTTCTCACCGGGTAAGTTTCAATTTTAAAAATGTCTATTMAGCATATAAGAAAATAAATTTATTACAACAGAGAACAATTAAATTATTGCAAATCTATACATTGTGTTGAATATTTTTATTGTTGTGACCAACAAGCTAACCAGATAAAATATAATATAATGTTTGAATTGATATAATAATATTTTATTTCACATTAATCGTTAAAAAAATTAAATTTTCATTTATATTGTTTCAGATAAGAAACTTAAACAGGTGCACAGATTAGTGAGAAGAGAATTAAAAGTAATTAGTTAATAATGACAAAAAAAAAAATAATAATAATAATAAATAGTTATTCACTTATGATTAGTTGGTGTTATTATATAATTATTTATAATGTATTTTAACAACCAACTGGTAAGTTTGAGCAATACTCAGTTGTTTTTGAGTACGAGGCTGCTTAAAAGCTTAGTAGAGCATAGTTGTGGTGTTATAGATAACTTTTAAAAAAATTAAAAAAACAATGGTATATAATAAATTATTAATTAGGAATTTTAATAATGTGTATTCTCTACAATGTGTATACTTAAAACATTGTAATCCCAAAATATTATACAATCTTTTTTTTTACACTATAATTTCTCAAGACTAAACATACTGTGAACCTCAATTTTGGTAAACTACTCATAATTTTGTTGAATTAATATTAGATTATGTAATTTCTTAAATTTAATGATAAAACAAGGAACACAAATGTTTTGTTTATTACAGTTGCACATTCCATTTGCAACGGTAATTATATATATTTTTTTTTTATCAATACTTAACATCACGGTAGATTATAATCTACCGTGCTTAACATCATTTATTACTATTATTTATTTTTTATATTGTTCAAGCTCTTCCACAATTATGTAAATATATTAGAAYGTGGCAACTTTTGCATTTTATTTTCTTCTTTGTGTATGTTTTCTTTTTATGTACAATTGTGAACAAACATTTTAACTAGTAGGTCGTAATTATGTTTTTATTTGTAATATGTATTATGTATGTACAAAAAAAATATATGTATAAAACAAAACAAATAAATCAATGTCATATGTATTCACGTATTAAAATAATTTAGTATATTAATATACGATATACTATTATGTAGGTATTCATTAATTTTTGTACTCTAAGCTTTGAAGTCTCCAGGAATAGATTATGACTGATGTTCCTTAAAGTATTTGTAGGCGATTGAAAAATCCTTATCACCCCATCCCATCTGTGATATACGTGCATACATGTCCACAGTCAGGCACGTTAAGGGGGTCTGCGTGCTAGTCTCCTTCGCTAACGACTCGCCCAATCTCATGTCTTTCAGCAGCAAATCTGCTTTGAAACCATTCTGAAAAAATATGTATATTTATATTTTATATTCTAATTGATAACTATGGTTAGCATTAGACAATCATTTTGGTCAGTTTCATTTAAAAACAACTTAAACATTAAAGTGTTATACATTTAATACTTATACATTTTATTGATATGAAAGTTAAGAAAATATTTAAGAAATATACACTACTGTGTATTTTTATACCATGGGGCTAGGAAGTCTGCCTCAAATACATCACTGAATTATAGTGTAAGTTACTTATCTAGCTGTATCCCACCAGCAAAATGTAGTGTGAAACCTACCTCTAATATATGACGACTAACATTTTTTATAATTTAGAAAATTGTATTACTTACTCATAGGTACTTTGTAGTACATAGATAAGCGTAAGAGATGAATTGGATAAAAATGATTAATGTGATATGTTATTATTGATAATAATTTAGTTACAAATTAAGTTTTCTGGAAGAATTTCCAGGAATAGAGTTGGATAGAAGGTTTTGCTCGTCGCATTAATTTTGAAGGTGGCTTCTGAATATGTAGGTACCTAGCTTGATTATTTCAGTGACTATGTGGATGTGAAGATCAGTTTAAACGGTATGACTTTAATTGAATATAAGAAGAATTTGTTACAAATAAGATTTTTGATTGGGATACTTGTATTTTTGTGGGCTATTTTTATTTTTTATGAAGCCTTAATTTTGATTAGCATTATTATTAAAGCTGAGAGTTGAATTCACTAAAAAATATATTTCTTAAAATTAGTGCAAGAAATATTTAAAATTTAAGTTAAAACAATGTTTTAAAATATTTATATTTCAATTAGATAAATAGGACTTGTATTACAAAATAAAACACTCAACAAGACAACAACTGCAGACAGAGTACTTGAGACTTTCACAAGTATGTGACCTTGTAGTCAAGATAGTGAAGAAAAACCAGGTAAATTAGAAATATTGTTATCGCCTTTTAAATTATTTGTTAATATGAGATTGATGTTCTAAGAGTGTTATTACTTATTAATAATATTATATTATAATCAGTGGCGGATATTGTCCTTTTAATATGTGTGTCAAACTTAATAAAAACAATTTATAAAATTAATATTTACTTTTCTGTTAGTCTAGACATTCTTTAGGGGGGGAAAGCATGAGTATTAATTGATACATTTGAGATATAGGATAACAATAGCACTAAAATTKGATTTCTAATTGTGAAAAATTTTGGGACATTAGAATGAAAGTAGTTATTGGAAATGGCCTGTTATGAAGTTCATAGGTGTTATGCAGGAACCCTGGTGTTAGATGATATGATAAATAAGTAAATTCAATAAAAAAWTGTTCAACAGATTTTAATTCAATGTTAGAACTTGAATATTAGTTTAATTTAATTTTAAATCCAACATCATTGTTACCTCTATCATCTACAGATGATATTTAGGACATTTTAGATTTATATCTTAAGGCTTTACCACCTCCTGTCCAATTAATGATTCCATCAAACTATTTAAACTATTCTAAAAGCTAATGGTCTAGATAGAGCTCATATTTCGAAAGTAAAATATTAGTTTATCAGATTATTAATTTTTTGGGGTGTTTTAGTCCCTTAGTTGATAATATCTAAAAATGTTATGTTACCTAGTTGTTTTCAGTATAGATTATTAAAGAAATCGAAAAGTTGGCGGTGATGTACTCTTAAACCTATAAATTAATTATATAATWAACATGTGTGGTACTCTGGTCACTGGTCAGTGGCATATCCAGGGGAGGGGGATTATGAGGTTGTAAACTTCCCAMCCAAAAAAAAAATTCTAGATACGTCACTGTGTGTGTGGTCGTCGAGTAGCAAATCGTTACCTACCTATCTACCTATTAATTATTTTACATTTWAATATTCAATTTCCCGGGTTTGCGTCAAGTAAAACTAAAATATAAATGTTGAGGGTCGCCCACGCATTGCAGTGGTGGCGGCAAAATTAAGTCGGACACATTTTACCGGTACCGCCAATACAAAACAATTTTACCGCCATAGTGTGTGGTGAYCATTATATACCTATATAGACTATATAATATAGTTTTTAAAAAGAATGCGAAATTATCCATCGGTTAGTTTATAAATAATCTATGGCGAACAACAATTAATAGTCCGAGACGAACAGCGATTCAAATATTGCGTGGTGTGTACTCGCATATTTCGTTATCGTTTTGATTAGGTATTAAGCTATACCTAGGTATTTTCATATTTAATGTCGTCAATCTCAAAACTTCCAGATGGTAAATGAAGACGTGTACTGCACGTTTGCACTACTGCATTTCTCTTGTCGGAAATGCACCGTTCTGACACAAGAGTAGGTACAAGACAATATATTATTATGCATTCGTAGAGAACGTGTTTCACCAGAAGAATAAATATTTACGTACACCTAGGTGAGTTTTTTCCTTCCACTGTTTTGGTRAAATAAATATTTATTGTCAGTCAAGTTGGTATTAGTTGGCRTTAATTAGACGTGCCTAGTAGTTAATAATAGCAGTCTGTTACGTTATCGTTTTTGTTTTCTGAAAAGTATTTTAACCGATTCAGATCTTTTGTGTTGTAAGGCCGGGAAAGTCGCTCTGCTTTAAATCAGTATTTTCTCAGTGTACGCTTTGTCAATGAGTAGACCGTAATGGATGCGTTTAATACCACCAAACGGGCCAACTTGGGGCAAAAATATTATCTTTTAGTTTTAACTCCGTAACGGTCTCTTAACAATTAATTAATGCGATGCAAAATATATTCTGTTGTTATCTAAACAATGTCTAAAATCACTTTGGTAGTGTTGTTGCATCGAACTTTAAACGTAAGTAATTACTAATCACCTATTTTTATTAATTCATTTTATGTCTGATATCTGTAGTTTGAAAAGGTCTAAAGACTTAGGCCATCTACTCATTGAATGAGACGTTTTACACAAAAATGATAAATATGTTTTACTCACAAGGTACAAAATATATTTGTTAAATTCAGAAAATTGTCTAGTATTTTTTTTTAAATTGTTATCCAAATTTCCAAGTTGGTTTAAGTAAAATATAAATTAGATAAGAAAAACATAAATGTCCCATGTTGTCAAAATTCGGTACAACATGGGACAAGCAGATAAATAAAAAAAGAATCATTTGTATGGTTCAAAAAATGTAACAGAAATCAATAAACCAAACCTTAAATAAAAATAATGTTACATACAAAATATACAATAGAATTTAAAAACTGCTTGAAGTTCGGCCGTTTGATGGTAATAAATTATTTGCTAACCCTCTAATTAAAAAGATTTTGAAAGGAGAATATTTCAACCTCTATATCTAAGTATATTGCACCTATATGTGTTACAATAAGTCATTTAATTTTCTTATTAGTAATTTAGTTAGGTATACCTTATATGTATTAGTT